TGATACACCTCTTGCTCAAGAGTTTGTAGAAGCAGAGGATGATGATCAGATGGAGGTAAACTTTGTGAATGGACAAGGCTATGTGCAGAACCGCAGTTTCAACAACTTCAGGAACCATCCGAATATGTCCTACAGGAGCAACAATGTTGAGAACCTTCAGGATTAGGTCTATCTGCAGCAAGGAGTGCAGAATCAGTCATGATTTCAGAAGAACTTCTCCAGCAACTTCGAAGGGAAGCAGTTCATCACCAACCAGAACCGATTCCAAGGTGGGAATCAGCAGAAGTTGCCTAGTTTGCAACCTTCATCGAGTTCCCCAAATAACTCGCAGGATGAGCTGAAAAACTTGATGCAACAGATGCTGGTTAATCAGCAAAAGTCTTCCATGGAGATTAACGCCAAAGTGGATACCATGTACAATGATTTGAATGGCAAGTATGAAGCAGTGTGGACTCATGTGAAGAAGCTGGATGTTCAGGTAGCTCATACCACCTGGAACTCTTCCTGGAAAAGGTGAAAACCCCAGGAATGAGTTTGTGAATGCTATTGAGCTGAGAAGTGGGAAGACACTGCATGCTGCACCAACAAGTGCTGTCTCAGAAAGGAGGAAGGAAACGATCGTGGAGCAACTGCTCCAAGAAGGAGCACTATCTCATGGAGCAACTGCCCCAAACCAGCAACTTCCATCCATTCCACCTCACTTAGTCCCATTCGTCCTCATTCATCACTTTCCACCATCTCCCACACTACTTATCACCTTCCCACATCTTCCCGAATCGACCCGGTCCATCTCCATCAGCATCCCAGATCCAGGTAAGTTCCTTTTGGCTAACCAAATTTGATATATTTATGCATTTTTCTCATCCAATCTCGACTTCTTTCACACTGAGGACAATGTGATTTAAGTCTGGGGGAGGATTTCATCCCTTTCTTACCTCTTTTCTTTCAGGAGTCTTGCATTATCTACACTTTTTGCATTTTTTTTTAAGTTTTTCAAAAATGATTTTCAAAACAAAATACGTTTTAAAGGGAATGGTGAACATGAATCAATGATAGTTGACTGTGTTCTTTTAGATTGTTCCTAGTGACATGCTCATTCATGATTTAGGACTAGACTAAGCGGTAGCTAAGCACATTTGAAACGAATTACCCTAGAAGAATTTGAATAATTTCAATTTAGATGAAGGAATACACTAGCTTTGTTTTATTTGGACTTAACACAGACTTAATTTTCTCATTAAAACATTAGACTAGGGAAACGAATCATACATTCAGGGCTCTTTTACCCTTTTTACCACTCTCTGTTGATCCTGAAAAGCTAGTTCATCTTTAGCTAGTTCCCCACATTAACCAAGCCTCTTTCGAACCACATATACTATTGTTTTCCATTTTCTTATACGCAGATATGTGCAAAAACGTCGGAGAGAAAGAGGAATGACGTAGTTTTCAGTCACAAAGACAAAGAACTGCGATTTTGCTGGAAACTTTACCGGAAGGATTCAACAAAGGAGAAAGGTCAGCTTGTTTCAGAAAATATTGCCAAACATTGCTACATTTTTGCCCCTTAGACTCTCTCTCTCTCTCTCTAAAAAGGTTATTTCCCCTTTTCAGCTTAACAAAAAAATCAAAAAAATAAAAGAAAAAAATAAAAAAGGGAAGGAACAAAAACCTTAGAGAGTCTAAGATGATCGATTTTATCCTTGGGGCAAGCTAGAATTCGATTATATGGAGTTTTGGAGATCATTTTTCAATATAAACGTATAAACGCTCGAAACAAAGTTTAAAAGAAAAGCCATAAGATAAAACTATACAAGTTCATCGTACAACTAGATGGAAAAGTTTCTCCTTACCTCACACAGAGCACGTAAATAAGAGTTGAGGAATTCCCACCCTTGAACAACTCCCAAAAAAATACATGAGAGAAAGTTATTTTATTACATAACACTTATAAAGAAATGTAAATACATTAAGAAAAAAATCTTCTTTTAGGGTAATTTTTAAATTGTAAATCTTTTTTTTCTTTACCTTTTTCTTCTTATTTGACTAGTAGTGGACAATCCATTTTTCCCTTATTATATTATATTTTGTTATTTTATTTATTATTTTGTAAATTGACGATATAAAAATTTTTAAATTAACCTTTTTATTTCAAAAAATTATTAAAAAATTTAGCTAGTAAAACTAAAATATTGAACACAAATATATGTTCTGTTTTTAAGATTTATATGGCTCTTAATGGTGATTAGTAGAAGAACGATAAGAATGAAAAAAAAAAAGACTAAAGTAATAGGAATATTTTTTTCTTTATTGTTCCTTCTGTAGTTTTATAAAAATATTTTAGTTCTATGCATTTGATCATTCCTTAAAAAAGAAAGAATGATAACGAATCATGTGTACAAAAACTTATTTATAAATAGTATATCTTTTAGGAACAAAGATGAATTCATTGTTCCTCAATACTTATAAATATGTATTTAGAAATGAAGGAGAATTCATTGTTCCTTATCATTTGGTCACCATTTAAAATCTATGTATTTGATAAAATAACCAATATTGAAAAATGAAATATACATAGCAAACAATTATACCTATTAGTATAACTTTAAAACTAAGTCGATTTTTTTTTATATATTTTAAGGTGGACATCAGAATTTAAAGTCTAAACCTTATGATTCCTCTATGAACAAAGGTAACACCCTGATATTGAAACACTCTGATACACACATAAATTTTGCCTCGGATTTAGTTTAAGTTTTAGGATATTTTTTTTAAGAAGAACAATATATATCCTATTAATTTTTAGGATATATTTGATCAAAGAATATAATTAGGGCTTTCTCTCAGTATCTCTGCAGATATAATTGGATTATTCTTAATTTAGTGATAATGATTTATAATATACAAGAACTATATGTTTGATGGTATCAGTTGACCGAATTAAAACCCAAAAGTTATTCGGTTTTCAATTTGACTTTGATTTTGATTCAATTTTCATAAAAATAACAAGCGACATGCAAATAATTAAGGAGATTACTATTCTCAAAGTGTACATATAGAATATACTTTTGATAGAAATATCAATAAAAACAAGAACCAAAGATCCCGAAAGAAAGGAAAACTGAAAAAATAATAAGTGGAGAAACTCTTAATTAGCTAATAGCAAACAAAATCGGAAAAAAGAAAGAAACATATACTGGTGTAGGTGATCCGAATATTTAGTGATGATGGGAAGTCAATGTGGGTAACAACCTTGTGAGACGGTCCATAGGTGACAAATTTGGAACATTGGGAGTTGGTCCGACCACGACTTGAAGCTTAAGCCCAGCGTCACAGTGACCTGGCTTCGAACTTATGAAATAATGAACTCCTGGTTTGGTGAGCCTGACGAGATTTCAGCCAGTCTTGTGCACGGTAACAGGTGAAGTCGGGTCACAGTATAAGAATTCCAGATCACTGCTGATTTCTAAGACGTCGTTTAATTCTTGGCCGTATTCAAAAAGGAGATTGTCTCCAACATGAAACTCTTTCTCCTTGCTCCACTTGTACTAGTAGTCGCTGTCATAAACCCTCCATCCTTTGGAGTCACTAACCTTGTAGGTCTTTTCAAAATGAAGGACCTGGCTCGGTGGTGGTGGAGGAACCGGCCGTGACGGGTCATGGATGACAAGAACCTCGAGCTTCTCTCTGGATGAACATTGAGTATAATTTTACGTGATGAAGAAGTAAGAACCTGGTTCCGTAAGGGGTACATGTCAAAGTAATTTGGGGAAGTGATTTATTCATTGGCCGAAAGGAAACTATATATACATGTAGATTAGTTAACTTTGAGTTAGTAACTAGCAATGTGGGACAAATATTCTAACAAATATTCTAACTACTTAACTATACAAGATCCAATAAGCCTATTATCTTTTAATACCCCCGTCAAGTTAGAGCATGTAGATCTCGAATGCCTAACTTGCACAAAATTCCTTTGAACGGACGTCTTCTAAGTGCTTTAGTGAAGATATCCACCAGCTGTTGAGTAGTTAAAACATATTGGATCTGAACAATTCCAGCATGTATATCATCTCTAATGAAATGATCAATCTCCACATGCTTCGTTCTCTCATGAACTATAGGACTATCTGCAATATGAAGTGCAGACTGACTGTCACAATATATATTTATTAGACCAGAATATGCAATACCCATCATTAACAACACATTCTTTATCCACTTTAACTCCTGTAATGCCAAAACGATAGCTCGATACCCTGCTTCAGTTGAAGAGCATGATACAACATCCAGCTTCTTTGACTTCCATGATACAAGAGAATTTCCCAACTGTACCAACTATCCACTCCCGGGCACCCTTTCAAGTAACGAACAACTCTAAATGCAGTCATCCAATGATCCTCTTTTGGCTCATTCATAAATTGAGACAAGATGTGAACTGAGTAGGTAAAATCTGCTCTAGTCGCAGCCAGGTAACACCCTGATATGTAAACACTCTGATACACACATGAATTTTGCCTCGGATTTATTTTAATTTTTAGGATATATTTTTTTGAAGGAGAAGAACAATATATATATCCTATTAATTTTTAGGATATATTTGATCAAAAAATATAACTAGGGCTTCTTCTCAGTATCTCTGCAGATATAATTGGATTATTCTTAACTTAGTGATAATGATTTATAATATACAAGAACTATAGGTTTGATGGTATCAGTTGACCGAATTAAAACCAAAAAGTTATTCAGTTTTCCATTTGACTTTGATTTTGTTTCAATTTTCATAATAATAACCACTGTCATGCAAATAATTAAGGAGAATACTATTATCAAAATGTACATATAGAATATACTTTTGATAGAAATATCAATAAAAACAAGAACCAAAGAACCCAAAAGAAAGGAAAACTGAGAAAATAAAAAAGACGAGAAACTCTTAATTAGCTAATCTCGAACCAAATCAGAAAAAAGGAAACATATACTGGAGTAGGTGATCCAAATGTTTAGTGATGAGGGGATGTCAACATGCGTAACCACCTTGTGAGACCGTCCATAGCCAACAACTTCGGAAAATTGGTTGTTGGTCCGACCACGACTTGAAGCTTAAGCCCTGCCTCACAATGACCTGGCTTCAAGCTTATAAAATAATGAACTCCTGGTTTGGTGAGCCTGACGAGATCACAGCCAGTCTTGTGCACGGCAGCAGGTGACGTCAGGTTGCAGTATAAGAATTCCAGATCACCACTGATTTCTAAAACGTCGTATAATTCTTGGCCGTATTCAAAAAGGAGATTGTCTCCAACATGAAACTCTTTCTTCTTGCTCCACTTGTAATAGTAGTTACTGTCGTAAACCCTCCATCCTTTGGAGTCACCGACCTTGTAGATCTTTTCTAAAGGAAGGACTTGGCTCGGTGGTGGAGGAACCGGACATGATGGGTCATGGACGACAAGAAACTCGATCTTCTGTCTGGATGAACATTGAGTATAATTTGACGTAATGAAGAAGTAAGAACCTGGTTCCGTAAGGGTTATGATATCGTGTCCTGTGTTGTATACGACTGTAGGAAAAGAAGAGTCGCAGAATTGGGACTCCAAAGCTCGGGAGACTTGTGTGACGTTGTTAAAGTTGTGATCGTACTCAAATACCAGATAATCTCCAACGTGAAATTCCTTACGCTCGGTCCAACGATAATAGACCTCGTCTTTGGCAGTCCATCCATCAGAGTCTCCCACTTTGTAGATCGTCGCGGAGCAGCAACCCAAGAGAATTGTGAAGTTTGTTATTGAAGATGTAGTGACGTCTGAAGCACTTTTTGTATCAGCGGAACTAAGGCAAGAAGTAGCACGAGGCTGAAGTAAGGAACAAATCAAGGTCTTGAACGCAGCTGGATGCGGAGTTGGACTTGTAGCTGAGCTGGAGCAATGGGAATACGAGTTTTGGAGAGGAGCGGAGCTGGAAAAGAGTAGCAGAGTGGATCGTGAAGAATAGAAGATTTCCTTATACTCGAGAGAGTTAAAGGAAATAGGAATATACACCAAGGCCAAGAAAAAAGGAAGCTTAGTGTAGGGTTTTGGCGTGGATAGCCACTTTGTCTACTAGGTATAAGTAGGCGTGTTGAAGCATTGTATGTGATTAACACAACTACTAGAGATCACTTAGCATAAGGGTGATAGATTCGTGTATCAGAGTCTGCATCAAGGGTTAAGGGATTTTCTAGGGGAGTTCTGAGATCAAGTATAGATCGAAAAATAAGGGAAGCTAGAACGGCAGATCAAGGTGTGTCTTGAGTCTGTCTTAAATTGGGTTAGAAAACTTGTATGGTTTGATAAAAGTTTAAAGGAAGAAAACCCTGTGTCAAGTTGTGTCATTGTTCTTGATATTCGACTCTTGTATTTACAATTGGTATCAGAGCGGTCATCTGTAATTTGTAAACAGGTGAGATCCTGAGGAGATGGAGAGCTATCAAGAACTTGTAAACAATTCAAAAGTGGTTTTGAATGCTGGGAACTATGGGTTCTGGAAGGCGAAGATGCGTTCACTTATCAGAGGAATTGATCCTCTGGCATGGAAGCCGGTTCTGGTCAAGTGGGAAGAACCAAAGAAGAAAAATGATGCAATAGGTGAGGAGCCCATACCAGAAGAAGAATGGACCAATGATGAAAGCAAGAAGTTCAAGTACAACTAAAAGGCGTTGACAGCCATTCACTGCAGTATATCCTGTGAGACCTTCATGCTGATTCGGGGGTGTGAGACAGCTAAAGAGGCTTGGGACATACTGCAGATACAGTTTGAAGGAACCACTAAATTGCAGAACTCAAGGAAGGATATGCTGGCTTCACGGTTTGAAAACCTGAAGATGGAGGAGAATGAAACCATTGCTGATTTCAGCTCAAAATTGAGTTCCTTAGTTCAGGAGGCTACAACACTAGCTAAAAACTACAAAGACAAGAAGCTGGAGAAGAAGTTCCTTAGGTGTCTCCCACCAAGGTTTATGGGGTACAAGTCGGCTCTGAGTATGAATCAGAACACAGAGTCTCTGAGTTTTGGTGAGATTGTTGGAATGCTGCAGGCTCATGAGATAGAACTCGATGGGGTAAAGAAGCAGAAGAGCTTGGCACTGTCCACTGTCTGTGAAAACAAGGCGCCAGAAGAACAGAATTGTGAAGATGCTTTGGGACTACTGGTGAGGAGATTTGACAAGGCCTTAAGACGGGCTGAGAAGTCGTATAAAAAGAAAAGGAGTGTACCAGGTAAACGCTCAAAAGAAAACAGTGAAAATAAAGGTGATGTCCAATGCTATGAGTGCAAAGGTGTGGGATACTTCAAGACTGAATGTCTTACCATTAAGCGAAAGAAAATTCAGTGCTTCGGTTGTAAAGGTTTTGGTCAAACACAACTTGAGTGTGTGAATGACCTGAATCGCAGAAAGGAGAGATCTATGCTGGCAGAGGAAGACACCGAAGATGAAAGTGATGAAGACATACTGGAGGAAGTGAACAACTTTGTCACTTTCATTGGAATTACTGAAGTTGAGGAAGGTGAGGTCACATCAGATGTTGAGTCAGAAACTGGTGCAGATGATGAACTAAGTGAGAGCTACAAGGAGGTTCACGAAACCCTGATCAAAATGGGTAAGGAGTACTATGAATTGAAGAAGGAGAATCTCCAACTCAAGGAAAATGTAGAGACCTTGCAGAGGGAGTTGGAAGCGGCTCAGAAACTGAGTCAAGAGAGTGTGTCGTTGATGAGAGACAAGCTGAACTTGGCAAAGAAGGCTGAACAGGTGGAGCACAATCTGAATCAGGAGAAGGGAATTGCCAACAATCTAATGGGAGAGCTCATCGACCAGGGCAAGAAGATCCACATGTTCGCTGGAACAAAGCAGCTCGACCAAATCTTGAGCTACGGAAGAAAATCTAATGTACAAAGAGGGTTAGGTTATGACAGTCGAACCCTGGTGGAAACAGGTACTACAAGGTTTGTTCCATGAGGTGTCATTAAGCCACAAGAGGGTAAAGAAGCAGCTTCAACATCAAAGAAAGAGGTTTTGCCCATGAGGTTGTATGGATGCTACTACTGTGGGAAACCAGGACATCAGAGACCACTGCTACAGGTTTTGTAAGCAAGTGAAAAGGCTGAAGGAGCTTGGGAGATTTACTTGATATGGTTTCAGAAACCAAATATGGGTAAGGAAAGCTGATCTGAGGCAAACCACTCCAAGGCAGCCTCAACGTCAAACTCCGATATACAGAACTTCACAAGGAAGAAACCTTGGGTTAGGCTTCAAGTGTAATATGGCTGTGATTACGGAAGAGGAGGACCAGGCTGCTTTGTGATACTTTGGTAGTGGTTGCTCTCGACACATGACTGGCACAAGGGGGTTTCTTCAGAGCCTGAAAAAGAATAGAGGAGGCAAAACAACTTTTGGCAATGGGAGCATTGGTGCTATTCAAAGGAAAGGCAAGACAAGGGAACTCGGTCAACCTCAGCTGGTGAACGTCTATCTGGTACATAGAATTTAGGCGAATCTGAACAGTATCAGCTAAGGGAGGGAAAGTGCAAGGCTGACTGTTGTGTTCACTAAATAGGACTGCAAAGCTGTAGATGAAGAAGGAAAACTCGTCTTGTGAGGAATCAGATCCGGAAACAACTGCTACATGTGGGATCCCTCATCCAGGGAGGAAAAGTGTTTTTCAGCGCGTGATTACATTCAACTGTGGCATCAGCGTTTTTGGAAACATGAACATCAGCAATCTCACCAACCTCGTTGATAAAGAGATTGTGAGAGGAATCCCTAAAGTTAAGGGAGAAGAAAACATGGTGTGTGGTCCATGCACTCAAGGCAAATAAGTCAAAGTGCAGCACAAGCGAGTTCCTGATATACAGTCAAAAGCAGTTCTTGATTTAGTTCATATGGATCTGATGGGACCAGTACAAACAGAGAGTTTGGGCGGCAAGCGATATGTGTTTGTTATTGTGGATGATTTCTCGAGATTCACCTGGGTTCGAAAAAAATCAGAGACTGCTGAAAACTTCAGAATATGGGCCTTGCAACTCATGGATCAGCGTGGAAGTATAAGTAACATCCGGAGTGTTCACGGAGGCGATTTTCAGAATGAATTCATGAAACTGTTCTACGAAGGTCATGGGATTTCTGATGTGTGTGTGGCGATGAGGGTGTCAAGTTTTACCCTAAATGAAATCAATAGCCGCAAGTACTTAGGGATCGAATCCACATGGAAGGAGGATCGTTCCTGCAAAAGCCTTCAAAAGAAATATAAAGTAAGGAAGTCTAGAACCAGGCGAGTTTTGTGAGGGTTTTGGTGGTATGTTTAAAACGTAAAAACCAATCTTAAAGAGAATACGGTAATTAAAATGACCTAATAACTAAACTTAACGAAAACAAGTAAAAATGGAAAACACGGCTAAACCTAATTGCTTAAATGAAAATCGATTGAAAGAGTAAAGATACTAGACTAAAGCTTGAATAAACATCGGTGTAAATCTATAGGAAAGAAAGCGTTGGGGTTCAGGAAAGTTTTCTCAGGGGTATGAATGATTCAAAACATTGCTAGAGAGTAAATTTGATAAGATCTTAGCTTAAACTTTTCGAACTGGAGTCACGGACGTATGAATACGCCACTGTCGTGATCATAGACAACTATCTCTCTCAACTCTGACCAGTAGCTTTCCACTCTGGTCCTGGAAGAGAAGAGATGCATTATGTTTAAGACTCGTCAGCATTCACAAATCGCCCATAGGTAGGTTTCCACTCCTATGTTTGTTTTGCTCTCCCAAACTAGATCTGACACCGGATGAACACTTTCGTGTCACCAAGCATCTGGATCAGATTGTAGTTCATGACGCTACTCTCATGCAGTAAAAACGAATTCAGAAGAAAAAGTTCTAAGATTCGGCTCAATAGCTCATGGAATCCTCATCGAACACATATATCCACATCGAAAATCCCTTAGACCCAACAATAAAATTACTCATACATGATAAACGAAATCAAAAACATAGTATTAAAAAGTAGAATAGAAACCAAAATTGAAAAAGAAAGAACAAGGGTTCAAGAGATAGATCTCTCTCTCCCTAAAACCTATAAACAAAGCTTAAAGTAAAATTTCTGTAAAGTATTTCGTCTCTCTTCTTCTCCTTTTAAAAACGACCTAAATGATATGTATTTATAGTCTCCAATACTCTCTGGTTTCTAGGGTTCCGGAATTGACGTTGGGAAAATGATATGGGCTTCAGAAATGGGCCTTCGAACTCGGAGTTAGCTGGCCTCGGTCGGCATGTGTGTGACCGCAGGGAATGGATGGCTGGCCGCGGTCGGGATGCTTGTGACCGCGGGGAATGGCCTGTTGGCCGCGGGTGGAAACGCTTGCCGGCTGGTTTACGAGACATCTTTCTCTTCGCGTATCTTTTGATTGAACCGTTGGATTGCCAAGCTGTAAAGTGTGCTGGAAAGCTGATACTTCCATTTTTGAGATCTCCAAATTTTATCTGGATCAGACGGTGAGCAGGCCTTCAATCGGGGGTGAACTTCTGACGGTTTGACTCTGAGCTGAAAATCTGGTCTTCTATCCATTTTGTTAAGTTTTTCCCTAAGTTTCCTGAAAAGAGTCTTTGGAGCTACAAATACTAGAAAAACGTAATAAAAGTACTTGAAATCAATTAAAAACATAGAAAAAGTAAAACGATATATAAAAATGGTCAAAATACGGTGTTATCAACTCCCCCAGACTTAAACCTTGCTTTGTCCTCAAACAAAGCAAAAGTCTAAACTGGTTAAGTGAAAACAAAAAAATAGGGAATGCACAAATCTCAGAGACATGAACTCCTAAACTAGGACAAAAGATTGTGCATCAATCCACAACTTAGTCTAGAAAATTCTCACCAAGACACAAAAGATACTAGTCCACTTTTTCTGTCATGCAAAACTTAAACAATTTGAATCTTGATTCCAGTCAACTAGCTCTCTACATTCATTAAGTTCAATAGTGAGTTCTCATTAAAGACATCATCCAGGGTAGACGGCATTTGGCATTAAAGGGATGTTTAAGTGGTGGAGTTAAAGTGTTTCGGGTTACCTGATGAATCTAGAGGATGCAAGATAATATGCAAAACCGCAAGAGAGATAAGGACCTATTGAGGACCGCAATTTTCAGTCACTTCTTCTTGCCAAATGTTGTTGCAATCTTTAAACCTTTGTTGTAAACAGCTATTCTCCCATACTTAGATTCTTTCCGGGAATCATAAATGGTCTCCAAAACTCCATAAAATCGAATTCCAGTTGCCTTGGGACTTAGAATTCATCATCTCTAGACTCTCTAAGGCTTTTATTTTTTTTCTTTTCTTATTT